AAGTGAATCGGAGCCAGTGTCAATGGAGCCAGAAGCGCGGCCATCACTCGCCAGCAAGCTATATCCATTATACAGTCTAGATAGCGATTCTGATACCACAATAAACAATAGAATACTCTTTATTTAGACAATAGAAGGCGATTTTCAACATTTAAATTGTAGTACGTAACATGAATGCAAGTGTATTCCATGCTGGCTCACTTTTGTATCTGAAAAAACTCTTCTAAAGCTGCGCCAGTGGCCAAATAGCTCCTGTGTGAGTATTTGTGTCTCTTTATACTTTACTTTATGAGTGCGAGGGACTAGTTGGATAGATTTACATAAATACTTAATTTTTTACAGTTTGAAAATCAGGTACTCCAGCTTGTGATGGAGTCAATGTTAACAGATGTGTGTGCAGCTTCTGTAAGTTTAAAAATCAGACTGTAAAATACTGAATATATTTTGAAGTCTTAATGGCCAGTTATATAACATTTTCAGCTTTGTGCGTGAAAAAATTAATCTAGCTGTTTATCAGAGCAGCTTTATCGTATGCAAAAGCACAGCCGATATCTCCTCTTTGTTATTCTGCGCGTTGGGTGGCCATTGCGGTTGTTTCATTAGGTTGTATGCTCACATGTAGAGTGGGAGTAGAGTCTCTCCCGGCTCCAATCCACTCCAGTAGGATTCCTCAATGAGCTGAATTGACAGTGCTTCGTGGTTTACCGCCGAGAGCAACAGGGGAAGAGACATGCATGACCTCTCAGTTTCATCAGGGCCCACAGAGACTGATGGAGGCCGCTGGTGCTTCTAACTAAATGTGACGGCTGTTCTACACTCATTGCAGTTAATTTAGGATTTCTTATTTGATTTTGTTTTTTAAAATAATGTACAAAAATAATTTCACGCTTTAAAGTGAGCGTGAGTTTTTTTCCCCTATGTATTAAATCGGCTCTTAGAAAATAAGCTTGCTGTGTGATACAGGTTTTTTATTTTCATTTTTTTATTTTACATTTTTAAAGCCATAAAAATCAGGTATTGTTTCTTTTGTAAATGTAAGCTATCCTCTAAATGTAGCAATCATGTAAATTGTAATTGTATAACAGTACTTGTGAATATCCCAGTGTTGCAGTTTTGGTCCTATTGTTGTAAAATTTTACGTTTTGAGTCCTGTTGTAGATGCTTCACAAGACCAAAAAGTAAATTATACATGTTGTTAGATTTGTTTTGTGCTACCGGCAGTAGCATCAGCACCAGAATGTTTTCAAAATTAGAATATAGACATTATAATCCCCTCTTAGTGGACGTAACTACGGAGAGACGAAATGTCAGCACGCAAAGAGTGAATGCAAAACAACAACATAACTCTAAAATCATTACAGCGTGTTCCCGTTAAATATTTCATTATAATTCTTCCATTTGTGCGCCCCGGGCTGCAGCTGAACCACCCAAGTCAAAAGTGCATTAGATTTGGACAGATGGAGCCGGGGAACAGGGGGTGCTGACATCAATTAACAAATGACCCCACAGCGCCACAGCCATAAATAAGAGTCTGTAAACAGGAACTGGGACTTTTAACAGTGTGACAACTATCATGGTGTCTACAGCGATCAGTATAAAGAGCAGCTCATGAGGCATGCTTGTATCGTCAAAAGTCTCATAATAATACCGTGGGGCGTCACAATATATATCGAATTACACGTTCCTTTGCTTAAATGCATTTTTTAATAGTAGTAAAAGCTAATAAACATCGGGAACTACATATGCCATGATTAATTTCAGCGCAGATAACATGAAGTTATGTTTTTTACTTGAATTCTTGGGATTATTACAGTAATAATTCACACCAAAATCTTGTCAGGGTATTTTAAAAGCAAAAAAGCATCCTATCTACAATTATATCAGCCTCTCTCCAAAATATTGCAGTAAATATTGTACCATGAGATGCATATCGTGATAATATCGTACCGTGAGCTTTGGATATAGTTACATCTTTAATAATTGAATACTTTCTGTTTTACCATCTTAGAAATGTATTGGTGTACCTTCATGGAGGACTTGTGTAAAAACTAGGGGTGTCAAATTATTGCGTTAATTGCGATTAATTAATTACAGTCATATTTAGCGCGTTATGTTTTTTAATCGCGTTAATCTAATTTTTAATCTCTAACTTTGCTGTTTCTGTATGTGAGTTGCTTTATTATAAAACCTGTTTTTATGTGTTGTTGGGACAACAACAACACACACACACACACACACAAAAACACATTTATACATTTTTTAAAATTATAATTATAATTCCACTCATTGCCGGAAACCCACACAAAACGCGCGCAGTAAGAGCGATGTAAACGTCATGTTAACGTTGGCGGCGTCAGGTCGAAGAGCCAGTAGAACAGAGTCAGCAGTGCACAGGTAAAAACACATTCGTGTCTTGGAAATTATTCTCCCGACGTGAAATATAAAAGAAAATAACAAATATAATATCGCCTGAAAACAACCTGCATAGGCTCATGATGTCTGCACTACTGTCCTATAGTGACCTGCCACATGAGGGGACACGCACACAAACACACACAAATACAAAAACACACAAACAAACACACACCTTCATCATCGTCACTAACCTGAGAACGCGCGGACCACGTTTTCTTCCGTAGACACTGCGCGAACACCGCTGTCCTCCCGTGAGCCGCGTGTGGACTGTGTTTTCTCGCGTACGCTGCGTAAACCGCGCTTCCTCCTGTGCGTCTCTAAACCAGAACTAACACCAAGGCTAAAACCAGGTCTAAACCAGGACTAAACCAGGTCTAAACCAGAACTAAACCAGAACTAAAACCAGAACTAAAACCAGGATTAATCCATTCCAGGACTAAACTAGGACTAAACTAGGACTAAACTAGGACTAAACTAGTACTAAACCAGGACTAAACGAGGACTAAACGAGGACTAAAACCAGGACTAAAACCAGACTAAAACCAGACTAAAACCAGAACTAAAACCAGAACTAAAACCAGAACTAAACCAGAACTAAACCAGGACTAAACCCAGAACTAAACCAGAACTAAACCAGAACTAAAACCAGAACTAAAACAGAACTAAACCAGGACTAAACACCAGGACTAACACCAGGACTAACACCAGGACTAACACCAGGACTAACACCAGGACTAACACCAGGACTAACACCAGGACTAACACCAGGACTAACACCAGGACTAATCCATTCCAGGACTAAAGTAGGACTAAAGCAGGTCTAAACCAGGACTAAAAGTAGTGATCTCATATATAAAGTATTTCTCTATCAATAATATTTTTAATATGGTTAAGGAAAGACTGGACTTTTTATTGTCTTTAAGTAGACAAAAGTTATTATGTTCAGATTTCCTCGTCTTTGCTACTTTACAACAAACAGTTTCTTATTCATGGAGACTTGGGCTCAACAGACAATTTGGAGAGATTTGTTAAACAATAAATGACTTTATAAAGTCACTTTTTTAAATCTATATCAGTCTTTTGATCTGCCACAATAATGTAATAATGAATTTAAATGAAAATACCTCAAATTGAAGGCTTTTCTCAGCAATTTTTAGGTGAGATTAAAATGAGATTAATTAGATTAATTAATTACAGATCATAATTAATTAATCTCTCAATTTTTTTAATCGCATGACAGCACTAGTAAAAACGGCTAATTTGTACTTTGCAGTGTCATCGCGCTGGGGGTGTTCTGCACGTATATGTGTGGCGGAATGTTCAGAAGTTACCACGGTGATTGGTGAAGTTTGAATATAGTCTGAAAACTCAATACAAAGTGGATTCAAACAGGTGCCTGTGATTCATACGAGCGTTCATGGTGCTGTTGTAGGTGTTTTCAACAAAAGCGTAAGAGTGAAAAACTGTGACTGAAATAGTATTTTCAGTCAACAGCACAAAAAAGCTCACCTGTTGTAGTTCCAGAAAAGTCAGTTCTTTCTGGTCAGATTGTGTTAAAAACAAAGCTCAGATTAAAGTCTAACAAAGCCTCAGACAGAGCTGTCATCATACCCCAGGGAATGTTGATGACATCAGCTGCAAAGTATCAATAGTTTAAAAAAAAGACTGCTGTGTGCTCAGTCTACATCTAATTCTAAAAGCATTATATCTTCCATGGACCAGGAAGTGCGCTGTTTGTTGGCTTCCTAGCATTATTGTGATGGTAAAATGCTTGCCTCTGAAAACTGTGAAATTAAATGCACTTGCAGTAAATAATTAGAATGCTGCGAATGAGTTTGGAAAGGAAGAGAAAACTTTGGGCCACTGCAAACTGTTTAAAATGGACTAGTTCTGTTTTTCACTTTTTTTTTTTTTTTTTTTTTTTTAAAGATGGGTTGATATCCTATGCAGCACCTTTTTAAAGCAGCAGCACTGGCTTGTGTTTCTAATCGGAATGGGCATGATTATTCGATTAATCGATAATTAATTGACCATTAAGAATTTCGTCGATTACGTTCATTTTTAATCGACAAACCGAATGTAGGTTGCTGTGCGTAGCAGCTATATTCCACTGAGTCATGTCCTTTAGTCAGACAGATGTTGACCGCATCAGCACACAAGAGCTGTTTTTTTTCTTTGCTTAGTTTATGCAAATTAGCCAGACGGTTTTTAGTTTCGTTTCTGAGACTTGCGCAAAGCTACGTTAAACACATAATGTCAAATGGGCTGATGTGGCCCTAGTGTGGTTACGGTTTATATGTCGTAAAGTTGAGTTTATTTATGCAGATTAGTAGTGCAGATAGTAATAATAATGATGATAATTTTAAGATAAAATCTTTAATGATTAATCAAAAACTGATCGTTAATTCTCCTGATGATCAATTAAGAAAATTTAATCGAATGCCCATCCCTAGTTTCTATAATATCTCCAGTTACATTTATAAAAGAAGACACGGACTGAAGGTTCTGTTCAATTATCAAAGGCCAATGCATCTGTAGTTTGCCCACATGTGACCCTGATCTGTTTCTCTGTGTGTGTGTGTTAGGTACATGGCTCCCGAAGTGCTGGACGACTCCATAAACATGAAACACTTTGAGTCGTTCAAACGTGCAGACATCTACGCCATGGGACTGGTGTTCTGGGAGATCGCCAGCCGCTGCTCCATGGGAGGTAAGGCTGAGAACAGCAAGTCAAATGGGGTGGGTTCACTTCCTAGAATCGCTTTTATGTTTATTTATTCATTTATTTTGGATAGGGACTGTGCATATTGATGAACATCTGTAAATACAGTGTAAATTAGGCAGATTATCATTAGCAAAAATGCTGATTTCCATCTGTTGTCCCTAGACTGGTGACAAAGAAGACATTTGATCACATAATTTTAGCTGGAGGGCAGGGGCCTATATAACTCTTTGGGAGATTTACTGTTGAAAGAAATATCCAAATCTATGGTCCACCAACCTTATTATTTGTTAGGGATTGGCTCCTTAAATGTACCTTTTTAATCTTATTACTTCAAGTCCTTTCAGCTGACAACAGTGTTTTTAGAGTTGAATAATGGCATCACTTTCTGAAGCCATTGTGAAAAATATGTATATTTTAGTTTAATTTGTTTATTTATGCCGAAAGAGTCAATGTCAAACTTTGTAATTACTGGACCTATCCACATAAAACAAAAAAAACTGGCACAGAGATGTCAACCATAAATCAGGTCAGCAAATCTCCATTTTGACAGTAAATTCTACCACAGAATCCTGCCCTCCAGCTCAAGTTTAAGCTATTGGGATTTTAGAATGGTACGTGAACACAACCTACTGCCCTACTTTGTTTAAAATAGTTAATGGTGTAGTATTTTGAGCTACATAGTTGAAGGGCTGTGGCTAAATTTCTCAGATACCTTGGACATCTTGCAGCATGGTGGTCCCAGTACTTCCACTTCAGATGTGTGTGTAGACTGGATGTGTAGTCAGAGTTAGGGCTCCAAATAATGAGTATTTTAGTTATCAACTAGTCAGCAGGTTGCATTTTATTCCATTTTGTCAGTTTGATTTAGTAATGCCACCATCTTGCATCATGTGTTTTAGAGTATGTATAGTCTAGATATTAGGGATGGGATGGGATAGTTTAGATCTACGAGAACGAGACAAGACGAGATTTTGACAAAGTATTAAATACATTGTACAATTCAGTTTCAAATTTTAGCCTCACTATATATTTTTTTTACCTTATTTAATACTTCTGATGTCATGGTAGCTCTGCTTTTTGGGACTACAATCGAAAAATGTTAACTCACCAGTACTCTATTTTTTCAATCCAAACGTAAAAACATGAGGAAAACACTCTCATGAGATCATTTTTACTACATGTGCACAATCTCATGGCAATTTTGTCCCATCCCTACTAGATATTGATTGCATTTATCAAATTGGGATTATTTTAATAGTCTACTAGTCACGTTTTTTCTGATTTTCCTTGTACTGTGCATGTAAACTAATGTTTAGTTGTTTAGTCAATAATCAGTCAACGGTGTCTTAACTCAACCAAAGTTTAATTTTACTTAAATGATTACAATTCATATGGGACAATAGTAAGGATGTAACAATATCCAAATCTCTAGTACGATAGTTATTGTAATATTTTAAAGAGGCTGATGTAATTGTAGACAATTGTAGACACTTTTTTGCTTTAAAAATACCATGACAAGATTTTGATGTGAATTATTACTGTCATAATCCTAAGAATTCAAGTAAAAATGTATTTCTTCATATTGTCTACGCTGAAATGAATCATGGGATATGTAGTTCCCGATATCTATTAGCTATTGGCACTATAAAACTATGCATTTGATATGTTGTAACAGCCCACAGTATTATTGTGAGACTTTTGACGATACGCTATCACGATATTTCGGTTATTGTTACATCCCTAGACAACAGTAGAAAGGAGAGCTTAGTGAGTGGGTGAGTTAGCTGAAGATTTGGTATTTATTGGGTGTTCATATGGGCAGATTAAACTCATGATTTACAAGTTTAATCTCTTTATATGAATACATTCGTTACTAGTGTTTTTTTCTGCATTAAAAAAAAATCCCGAGCAGTTATAGTCTCGTGAGTGCAGTTTGAGTGAGATATATAGAGATACATAATAGTTTTTGTGAGCTTTTGCCAAGTAGCCTTTTTAGTCGACAAATCAACCGGCAGGGCACGTCTTTAGTCTACTGAGGATTTCTTTAGTCGACTACAGCCCTAATGCAAACATAGACGCCTCTGACCCTATGTACCCTCTCTCTCTTTGTCCAGGTATCCATGAGGACTACCAGCTCCCCTACTACGACCTGGTGCAGTCGGACCCCTCTGTGGAAGAGATGAGGAAGGTGGTATGTGAACAGAAGCTGCGGCCCAACATTCCAAACCGCTGGCAAAGCTGTGAGGTACGATTGCTCCCCCTAATCTTACTCACATTAAGAATATTTACATTTAATGGGAATATACTGCATGCAAAAGCTTAAAGGTTATACATTATGCGAAACTGACTCTTGTGAGCTTTTAGTCATGTTGGAAAAAAAACATACCTAGAGTTGTGTTTTGCTTCATTCACACATGTTTGAGTAACCTTTTTATTATTAATATGTACATTTCCATACCTCAAAAAGGCTCTGTTCCACCTTGTGATATCAAGTTAATGGCTCCTTTTACCTTTTTGCAATTCCAGGGCTGAAATCATCCAAATGATTCTAATGAAAGTGTATGGAGATTAAAATCACAGTGGAGCATTCCCTGTATTACCACATGACATCACAAAATTGAACAGTTGTTTTCAGTCTGAGAGAAGAACTCAGCCCAAATATGCAGGGTTTGTGGTTGAAACACCAGTATGTGTGAAAGAAACAAAACTCCATGTATGTTTGTAATGAGGAAATAAATGGGGCCCCTTTTAAATGAAGAATGTGAAACGTCGAAATAATAATAATAATAATCGAAACGTACGTCAAGGCCTACAACTGGCTATTTGTTTTTATTTCTTTATTAACTGCAAAAACATGTCATAATAATAATAATGCATTGGATTTTGGTAGTGCTTTTTTGGCCATGCATAGAAGCCATAATTATAGAAAGGTTTCGTTGGTACTGATGCAAAATATGGCCTTCAGTTTTTTTTTTACTTGATGTTAACGCAATTTTCAGCTATTTTTTACCCACTTGAGTCTATGCGCTTCAAGTTTTTTAAGTGTTGATATCTGATGAAAAACTCAAAGTCAAACTCAAATGACAGCTTCACAGTTTTTCTTTATAAAAAAGGTATATTAAAGAGAATATGGTTTCCTCTTCGGTCTGTAGCAGGAAGTCAAATATATAATAAACATGATTATTTTGAGACGAAAGATTGTGATTTGGGAATTCTTCTCTGTCTGTTACAGAACAAACAACAATTAACTTAAACAACCCTTAATTTTCTTTCAATCCCTTTGTTTATTGGATCATCATTTCTCTCATATTTGATAAATTAAGTTAACATGCTGTAAATAAATAAATCACATACTTCTTGGAGTATAGATTAAATTCAATCATTAGCATCTAAAATTCTCAAATTATTTATTTTTAATAGTAGAGTAACTAAAAAAATCTGCAAGCTTGCTCAGGGCTAATCAGCTGTATGGTAACTTATGGCTACAAGGGCTATAATTTTATTTCAAATCTGTTTCTAAAACTTTATTATTAAAGTCATTAAAGTTTATTGCTAAATCTTGAATTTTAAATATAGAGTTTTTAAAATTAGTTAGCACATAGCTGTTTGGCCTCTTAATATAAAATTTTCACAAGTCTATGAGAAAATTTATGAAAATATTACTACCAGAACTGTAGCAGGCAATAACTGTTGAGCTTCATTATGGGCCAACTGTAATCCTTTAGTCGTTTAGTTGATAAATTGGTTGATGGAGTCTTAGTTGACCAAAACCTATATTAGATGACTAATACAAGTTTGACATCACAAGGTGGAACAGAGCATTTTGAGCTCTGTAAAGGTAAACAGACTAGAAAAGGATTGCATGTATGAATGAAACAAAACACAACTCCAGGTATGGTTTTGGTGTGGTTACAGCATTCTGACGTGATTTAAAGCTCTCCATTTTGTGTAATATAGGACCTTTAAATTGTGACCTGAATATTGTTGTTATCTTTGGTTCAGTTTTTGACATTTTGAATACTGTAAAAATTAGTTAGTGCCTTTAATTTAGCCTTGAAATTTCTCACTAGTATTATTTTTTTAGTCCTTACGATTAAGTTGTGACCTGAATATTTCTGACATCTCTAGTGAGAAGCTGCCTCCTCTGGTTATAACTGCAGACTGTTTGAGCGTCAGCCAGCACTTCCCACACACTCCACTCTCCGTCTTCACACACTTCATACGCTAACCCCAGGCTCCAAACCAGACATGAATCTATATACTCCTCAGTACTACACCCACGACTACTCTGCACTGTCTGATCAACAGTGTTCCTGAACCATTCCACTTCCATTATTTTTAATAACAAATTGGATTATGAAGCGGATTTTGAATTATTTCCCGTAAACACTACCAGTATGAGTTTTCCTTGTTGCCAAACGCAAAGAGCGACTTGGCCAGACTCCAGTCGATGAATGAGCAGAGGAATGCGTGGTTGGGAGCGTCCGCGCGCATGATAAACGTTGAGTCATCCCAACTGCTTACAACCACACCAAAGACGTGCCAACCGGAGCAGTGGAACATTATGTCTAGTCACCACTTCTGTCTGGGGAGCTAGTTACAATATGGAAAGCTAGAGCAATACCATTTTTACTATGTGTGACTCATAGTGCTGGTTTTCAGATGATGTCACAACATTCCATGAAAAATTTAGGGATTATTTACACGCAAGGAACACACATTTCTGAACATTTAAGCTTTAATTTGTTCAGTTTAAGGTGTTGTCATTCATTTTGGTCGTCAAATCATATCTTTTGTGTAACTGAGATGAGTTTTGGCTCTTGGATTATTAATTAACTTATGGATTTTAAGAGAAATGGATGAATAGTGTGGGTTAGTGGTTTGAAGCCTGTCGGTGCATTGTGTCACCGGGGAAGATTTGATTCCCATTATTTGGGTGCTTGCAAGTTTCCAAGGCTGCAGGAATTGAACTGAAAGCATCATATTAAAGAGATTGCACTTATTTGGGTAATATAATGTCCTCCACAAAGAACAAAATATTCAGCCTCAGTCTGTGGTTTATTATTCATAGAAGCTACTAACCCTATAATTTACCTTGACAAACATGCTCTGAAATGTATCTAGTAGTTAGCAAATCAGTTAGCAATTTTTTTACAGAATAATAAGACAATATGTTGTTGTCTATGGAGGAAACAGTGGTACTTAAAAAATTGCACTCTTTTTGATTTCCTAATGGTGTCCATTGAAATTGCAGTTTCGATTAGATTGCAGCTAGCCCTAGTAACAGTATTCTTTTTTATAAATAGTATCTGGGTTGCCAGAGTGTATCTTGTATAATTAGTTTTACCAGGGCTGTGTTCAGGGGCATCTGGAGCTTGTGCAGGAGCGAATCTGAAGTGTGGTCGATCTGATGTGCAGCTCTTTGTCCGAGTGATTACACACACGGCTCAACCATTACATCCTCATTAAAGTTTGAGTGAGCACACTGCTCAGCCCAACAGCCACTTAATATTTGATCAAGGCAGATATGTTCCATAATCAGAAGGCTTCAGAGGAGGCATCCATTACAAAGAGCGTCCAAACGATCATTTAATTATGCTATCTATCCAACTGTTCCACCAGCTGTTTATAATGCTGTTGGTGTGAATAGTGGCTCTGGATTCCCTCCAGTGTGAACAGTAGATTCTAACCTGTGCTTTGTGCTCTGGTGCAGGCTCTGCGGGTAATGGCCAAGATCATGAGGGAGTGCTGGTATGCTAACGGTGCGGCCCGCCTCACGGCTCTGCGCATCAAGAAGACTCTGTCTCAGCTCAGCCAACAGGAGGGCATCAAGATGTAGAGTACAGGCTCCTCACTGCCCACCCATCAGCATTATTGTGTCATGGAGCGATTCTGAAGAAGTGTGACAACAAGAAGGGAACACAGGGCATTCATATCTACCCTCATATCCATCTGTCATATCAGCTCCATGGGGCCTCGGCCGGGACAGAGCCCCCTGCAGGCCTGGAGCTGCCACTATGTTCATAAGCAGGGCACTCTCCTGGAGGGCTCCCAGTGTGTCAGGGGCTAAGACATGCACACTATGTTATGTAGAGATAACAGCAGGTTTCATATGAGAAATCCTATGAACACTACTGCAAATGCAGTAGACATGGCAAAAAGGCAGAATGAAAACAAATATTGAAATCATTTTTAAAACCACTTCCAGCATTTCCAAAGTTAATTGATTATTTCTGGTTATGTTGGCAGCCCGTGAGTAAACATGGAACTGAAAACATTTGATATTATCAGTTTCTGGCCTTCCCACAGGTCACAAAACCAACAAAAATCAATAAGGGTCCAAACTCCCACGTATCTGGTTAATGAATAAATGGTCCAGTTTTTTTTTTTTTTTTTTTTTTCAATAAAATGACTTAGAATAGAATATTATTCTATACAGTATATTCCTTTTATAGATGATCAGAATCTAAAATAAGTTATGAATGTAAAATGTTTATTATGTAATTATAACTATTTTATTCTCCTTAATGTACATAGATGTAAAGTTTGTGTATTTGTAGGTAGTGTGCTCCTAAGAGGGTAGCGCCCCCTCCTGGTGCCCTCCTGGAGAGAGTCCTCCGTGGACCGGCCCTCAGGTATCAGTCCACCGCTGGACCCTCTCTGCCTCCTCCTCTTCGTCTGTGAGCAGTCTCCCATGGCGACCGCTCACTTGTATTTATTCTCTTGTATCGTCTTTACGGAGGCAGGGGATCACTTTGCAAACCAACCTGGACACGATGACCTCATTCATGCTGCCACATATGCAATAGCACTAGACAAAGTGTTCTTTTGTATATCCTGCGTAACCATACCATGCTCAGCTATACCGGAAAGTGCCAGTGCTTTACCGCCCCCCTCTGGCCCGGGCTCATTCTATGCACCGATCAGCAGCAGCCCGCGGCGCCTGGTGCCATCTGGACCCACCCCACACCGGACCACCTCAGTCTCACCAGACAGCTCCCCCTGCAGGCGCTGTGGCGGGGCAGACTCCAGACTTGTAAAGCATACTACGTGATGTTGCCCCTAAATGTCTTGGGTTCAGTTCAGTGTTGGTGTAGGATAATCACTCGACAGTGACATTCATTAAATATAGCAAACGGAGATTTACTAAGCCATAGGTTTTCCAGGTGTGTATCCTTTTCTTTTTACCGCTTTTTCTACTAGAATGTACATTTATGAACACAAAAAAATGAAAGTGGACTTCATTTCAGCTTAGCAAGCCTTAAGGGACCAACACATAAGAGTCTTGATTTTCTTTTATATGAAAAAATGAGTATTATATATTGTTGATTTTTACGATCATGTTAAAAGATGTATGTAGCATCTGTTCAGTCTTGTCTTAGTTGTTGTTGCGTTGCCAATATTGCCACACATCTAATCCGCGCTCAGAGCTGGCAGTGTCGGCCATTGTTCACACATGACCGATATCTGGAGAATATCTTTCTGCTCAGCAATAAGTGCCCTTCTCCCTTGGCTGGCGGGCGGGCGAGCTGTGTGGCAGTGTCTTTCACTCTCTCTCTCTGCCTCTCTCTTTGTCTCTATCTCTCTCTGCCTCTCTTTCTAGCTCTCTCTGCCTTTCTCTTTCATATGGACGCATTCGTGTGTATGTGCTGCTGCCCACCTGTGCCATGTCGCCGTTAGCTCCTCCTCCTCCTCCTTCTCCTCCTCGCGCCACTGCCACAGACCCAGGCAGTGCCCAAACTCTGTGCCAATCCATCACCGGACAACTCACCAGGCTGTCCGCAGGGAACGCAAGACAAGCAGTTATTTTTCACCCGAGTGGATATTTCAATTCAAAGTGCTAGTTTTGTACAAAAAAATAATCTTGTGTAGCAACAGATTGTGTATTCTATTGATTTAAAAAGAAAAAAAAAAAGGTCAGATTGAAAGCCAAACGTTCAGGTCTGCTCAAAAGTCACATTCCACAATCGTCCGACCTCATTTCTCCAAATGAGGTCGGATCCCCTCCCGTCGAAGCTTATTCAAGGAGGATTCTCTGTCTGAATTGTCCTCTGATTTCAAATTGACTGACGTTTTACTGTTAGGAGCAAAATGTCCTCCTTAAATTCCGAGGAGGACCACAGAACTGCCCCTAAACCTCATCTCCATCTGCGCCCTTTTCCCCCAAAATATCTGACTGAAGACGGGCCCCCTCTTGGCCCGTTGGAGCGGAGTTGAAGCAGTCTTAATCAAGTGGGACTTTGTAAACTTTGTAAATAGATTTTTCTTGAAGTAAACGAAAAGAATTGTGATATTTGAAGAAAGATTTTTTTTTTTTTTGCTGCTATGTAAAAATTAAATGTTCGATGGACTGTGCTGATTGGATGTTGGCCCAGTGAGGCGAAACAGGGCCAAGGATATCTGTCCTGGTGGAGCTGTGTTTGCACTGTGCAGAGTGGTATTTTGCCCTTTCTATACTTGTTCCTTTGACCCCCAACCCCATTACCTTGTTTCCTCTTGTCTGTGGTCCCCTGCTCCCCTGGTCACCCTTTTTTTTCTCCTCTGGCCTCTGCTCCATGTACCCTGCTTACTGGATCATTTGCCCCCTTGTCTTTTTTTAAATTCACCCATGATCCCCTACTCCATCCTCCATCTACTCTGACCATTCTCAAACATCTCAAAGGTCCCTCAAAAAATGTTGAAAAATTACTTCCAATTTAAATACTACAATTTCTTATAATGTACAAACTATTAGAAGTTAATTATGTAGGTTTTATACTTGATTTCAACTAGAGATGGATTGGTTTGTCAGTATATTGGGCCGATATTTGCACTTTTTTGCATATGGTCTATTGGTGTTAAATCTCCAGCACAAGCCGATATAAATTTTTGGCCAATCCGTTGCCAAACGAATATGCATAAAGCTTATTTTGAACACTTAAGTGCGTAGGAGTAATTGCAGGTTTGTAGAAAAAATAGGTTTGGGTGAAGTTTGCAGTAAATTTAAATTGCATAATTTGGGAAAATGAATCAAAATCTGCTCTACATATTCACCCAAAAATATCGCCAGAGCTTATCGGCCGTCAGTTTCTCTTGATTCTAAACAACTGGCATGGCCCATGGAAAAAAAAAAACATGGTTTATCTCTAGTTTAAACAGATTTTACTCAAGTGTATTTTTATGTCATGGTGGAGGATGATGATGAGGGAGTTCTTTGGATAATTCCTGACCAACATTTGTATGAGACCTCAAAGTCTAAGAACCCCTGCATCTACCCAATATCCCCTTTTTCCCTGGTATCCCCCCCCATCCTACTCCCACCTTCCCCGCCGTTAGTCCCCCCTTCTGCTTTGGTCTTCTCCCAGTCATCCTCGCTGTCAGCTTCCTCCCTGTCGCCCGATCTGCTCAGCGCAAACACAGCCCGAAGGTGCTCTCATCACCGCCTCATTCTCTGGGACATGAACAAAGCAAACACACCAGGACGAAGCTTCATTCTGTCTTAAAAGCACCAGCAGCCTTTTCTTTACTGAGCCCAGAGACCCCCCATGATCTCTGAGTCCCTGCCTTCTCTTGTCATTCCCTCCTCTCCTTTTGAAGACTATCAGCTGGCTCCACGCGCCGCAGCAGCCTATCCGACTCGACTGTACCATGAGATTCAAATACAAATTCAAAACACTGTCAGTTCTGTAATTGTTAATCTGGGGTGTCCAGACTAGGGCTGTACATTTTTAGGAAACATTGAAATTGCGAGTGAGATTAGATTTGCAACGTATGTATTAAAAAAAGTAGGATTTTGTTCGGAGTTGACATTCAAAGTATTCCAAGAGCATTAACATTTGAAATAACACTAAAATCTGAACTAAAATCTGAACTGCTACACTAATACAAGAATCCAATGCATTTCAGACTCTTTTTAGAGGTCTAAATCTACAGATAAAACAAGATATTTCAACAAAAACATTTTGTTTTTTGCAGAGGTTTTCTATTAGAATCAATTTCGATTTTGATAACTGCGTGAACTCAAATAGCAATTCAGTATATCTATATTGTGCAGCCCTAGTCCAAATTATGGCTGTGACAGAACTGCAAAAATACCAATGCTAAAGAATTCATTAGGGATAGTGGATACCCCTGTATGAAAGAACTGTTATTAAGAACTTAAATCTTTTACTCAAGACTGTGTTTGCCAGTGTTTCTCAAACTTAACTTATCCACCCAGAAATAGCAAAGTTTTCTAGTTTTCTTACTTACACTAACAGAGCAAAATGTTAAACTAAAGAGAAAACCAAGACCCAAGATTAGGGTAGGAAATAGGCCTCTAATTGTACCTGAGAAAGCAGTACTAAACACAAATTTAAAACCAGTCTAAAAATATGATTGAACCTGGGACTAAACCTTCACTTAACCCTGAACTAAATCTGAGACGCACCCCAATGAATCACTTACTTACCCCTAGTTACAGCTTGATAGTATGATTATAGTGACCCATCATGATTTTTGTTTTGATTTTATTTTGTCTTTAGTAAAGAGCCCCAAAAATAGTCAAATTTCTTCCTTCAAAGTCTGAACTTAACCTTCAAAGACATGGATTTTCTGATGTAGAACTTTCAATGAAAAATCCCCAGGTTGATCATTGACAATTAGAGCTAAATGAATCTTGATTGACGTTCAGTTAATTGCTTTGACCTTCCCTTCGTGTTATACTTAACCCAAAGTTTGAGAACCACTAGCAGTTTACGACAAAATCCATTTTCGATCGCTTGCAGCCCTTTGGCACTCACCCCGGAGCAGCACACAGAGCCACCTCAGACTATGCCAGCTCTCAGCCCACTCAAGTGAATGTACAAGCCCCCCAGTTGGGCCGAGCCGGAGCCCAAAAAGCCCACCCTACCTTATGCAAGCACTGGGCGACCGCAAGTCTACGGACCTATCTATGCTCGCACCCGCTCACTGTGATCCTGAGCAAGTGCCAAAGGGCTGTGACCACCCCCCTTCCCCCCGGCGGAAAGCTGCTGCGGCTGCCGGGGCTCAGAGGTAGCAGAAAGCTTTATCATCTTTGGTTGGTGCCTCGGTTTGGACCCTCCTGAATGACAAGTTCGCATGCGATTGTGTCTGCATCCGCGTTTCTACTTTATCGATGTCATCCCTTCGTGCGGACGGCAGAGAAACGAAACAAAAAAATAAACGTATTAAAAAGGTCACTTAATCAAAAGAGAATACCTCCTTCGAAGACCAATGTGTTTTACCTCACTGTATATAACTGGGTTTGTTTACTTCTCTCTGATGATTTTCGGGGTACTACTTTGACGTCGCTGGCCTTGTGTTGTCCTGTCTGCGCAGCTGTACAGCCCTCTCTCCAGCTTCGGTACCAATGCCTTGTTCAGTATGTCTTTGTTTTCAAGTGCAGAAGAAGAGCGGGAGGCTGAGGCGGCTCCCGGGGGCACGGACTGGACACGCCCCCCCTGGACAAGCTTCGCCCCTCGCCTCCCCGCTCCACTCTTTCTAAGCATATTCGCATCTTTTCTATAGTGTACAGATGATGGAAGAGCATAGGAAGTAGAGGATTGACACGTATGTTAACTCTAACATAGCTGTGTAGACGTGTGAATAAAGAAGCAAGCTTTCACTACAGTGCTGCCTCTCTGTTCTGTCATTACATACTGTTTCTAAAGTGTTTTCTTCATCCTTTTCTAACTTGAAACTAAACTTTAACCATGTTTTTGTTTCCTCATGAAAAATAGACCTACTTGAACTTTTTCAGTAGAGTATCAAGGTGTACAAAAGTGGACGGCCGTTAATTATGCAGAATACAGTCTCTAAGCTGTTGTAGACCAATGAATGCAACCAAGTGAATTTGTATGCTTAAATCAACTCCACTGACTCAACAAGCAGTGGTACAACAGTGCCACCAAGAGGCCAGACACATGCACAGCATGAGGAGACACTGACCAATAGTACACTGCCCAGAGACCCACACATTCCAAGATTACTTGTTTTTTATAAACAACATTAAGCTGAAGGTTACTTCTTTAGCAGAATCGATTTTGTTTGGTTAAAAGAAGCTTTAAGACCAAAGACCCTTTTGGTCAAAGATAAACTGAAATATCTTGTACTTAAAAAAAACTTTATAGCTTTTATCTGTTTTATAATGTGTCCTCATCTAAAACATACCTGCAGATGTGTTTAGTTTATTCACATATTAACACACTCTGTGGTAATACAGGAAGTACTCTACAGTATTTTTAAACTCCATACACCTTCACTAGAATCAACTGGATAAATTCAGCCTTCAAATAAAATATAAAAGGTAGTTAACTTGAAAAGTACTACTACCTAACATCACACACTTTGGTGATACAGACAGACTAATTATAAAAGATGACTCAAATGTGTTTGAGTCATCAGATATGTTTTTGATAAGGTAACAACATTCTAACAGCTTAAAGCTCACAAGAGTCCATTTTGCATAAACATCCGATCCTTTCTGAGAGGTAATATGGCTTATATTAGAGAGACCAGCTTATATTAAAGCTGGTCTCTTAACGCACTCTGGTGGACGCGTGAGGAACTGCCACAGCTTCATCCAAATGGAGAAATGGAGAAAGGCATCAAAGGCAATTATTACAGTGGTTGAAATTCAGCCTAATATGCTAAATTTTAATGTAATGGAACCATTTCTAATGAGAGCAACATACAGTGTCTTTGGTAAGCTATTTTGCGACCATATTTGCTAAGTAGGCAACCCTGCTAGGCCAAATGCAATCTGTAATCTCTTTAGTGTTTTAGTTGCCTGGTCAGCCAAAAGAACACGCTTTTACTATGGGCAAGAATTTTGGAGCCCCTTGTGAGTTGCAGGGCCCTAACACCTGCACAACCCGACCAAGTTACAGGTCAGCTCTGTAGTGAGGCAACCCCACTCACAGTCAGAATGCATGTTTTTGTTTATTTTTTTTTAAGCTATAAAACCACCTGTGACTGAATAAAAGTAGGTAGAGCTGTTCAAAGGCATACTGTGGAACATTCCAGGCAGAGCAATGACATGAAACAAGCAGGTAACAGAACCAAAAAGTTACACGGTGCACCTTTAAGACCTAGAGCCTATACATACATTTTGAAGGATGCTTATATTCCTGTCTTTGTTTTTCTTTTGAGTAAACAAATGCTGCACGCTCCACCAGTCCCATATGAGGACAAATAAAAACATTGTGAAAAAGTCACTGAAACATGAGAAAGGGCTCACTATATAAAACACCTCGCACACAAACCAGCAATTTCCCATTCCCCAAACTCCTTCCACCGCACTTTGTTGTCAGCCCAGGTAGCTGTTTGTGTGGATGTCAGGTCTGCTAAAAGTTAATGTTTTTATGTTTGGTATTCTATCACTGTGCCCTTGAAGAACTTTTGTTTATCACCCGTGAGATCGACGCTAAGAGGGTTTTGTTTACGGAGCAGCTCGCGGTGAAAGTGCCGAGTCGTGTGCACCAAACTGTGAAGAGGGTGACTTTATAAAACGCCGTCTTCAACCGCTTTGTTTGGCCTCGTTCAGGGGAGGAATCCGCAATGGCTTCTGGTTTTTCTCAGAATATATTTACTGTCCCGACACAAGAAGAGGGGATGTAGTTTTTACAAAGGTGCTGTGGTGCTTTGGCGTTGTGGCGGGGATAGGTTGTGCCATAATGATTATAAGATCAATTGTGGGCTCTGGAGCGTGAAAAGGCCAAATAAATCAAGCCGTTTTTGTAAAATAGAAAAGTTTAATCGGCAAAACAAGTAATAAAGAAAAGAACAAAATATTGGCTATATAAATGTTTGGTTAACTCTTGCCTCACAGAAAGAAGATTGCAACTTTGAAGATTGCAAGACTGTGTGCAGAGTCAGTGTGTGGATTTTGCATGTTCTTACAATGTTGGGTGGGTGTTCCTCAAGGTGCAAACTTTCCCCTGTGTACTTTAAACATGCACAGTTGCTTCTTTTAAATGACAATAAAGGAATCAGAAAACAGCTTAATACGCTTTTAGATGGTCTGAAAATTCATGAAAAACTGAACATTTATTTAAAACTAAAATTTTTGAGGAGCCTGTGGTCAATAGTATGAGTGTTAATAGTCGTATTTAGGTGTTTTATTTTGAACCAAAAAACTGTGACTAACTGAAAAACTGTTAATTATTAAAAGTGCACCATATAACATTTCTGAAGGGGTCTGCAAGTATGACATTCTATCTTGCATTTTATTCAGTTGCAGGTATTTTATTGTGATTACTGAAAAACATGCATTGTCACTGAGAGTGTGGTCACCTCTCCAAACAGTAGATGGTAAATGGTCACATTTTTCTATAGTGCTTTGCTAACTCCAAGGCACTCAAAGTGCTTTACAACAAGGAACCACTCACCCATTCATACACCACTGTACACAGACACTGGGGGCGAGGGGGTTAAGCGTCTTGCCCAAGGACACAACAGCAGCATTCATCTGTGCGAGCCGGAATCACACCAGCCAACCTGTGAGTCAGTGGATCTGACCGCTCAACCCATGATGTTTATGTCGAGAGTGGGATTTGAACCACCAACCTTCAGATCTAATCTGTAACCCACTGGCATCATCTGCTTGTGTCCATGGATATAGTTTATTGCTGTACAGGGGAACATTTAAAGCTAAGCAATAATCTTCTTGGAGCCAAGCCTTCACCAAAAAATCATATAAATCATATTGCACTTGTGAATGTGATTTGATTTATTTATTATTGATTTATTTTGATTTATTAGGGTGACCAGACATCCCTATTTACCCGAAGCAGTCCCAGTCCCAGCAGATTTATCTGAAACCAGTGATTTGTCTCAGTTTTATACAAAAAAATGTCCTAGGAGTCGCTATTTTTGACCAATCTGATATCTGTGAACAGAAAAGAGAGGCATAAATTGTCATTTGTTTCAGTAAAATACAGAAAAGCTGCTTAAAAATGACAAAAATACAAAGAAAATGTGCCTGTACTGACTCGCATTAGTGCCAAATGCTTAACAATTTTCCTTAATTATGCACTCATTTCACAATTTTAATACCAACCAACCCAAATCAAATATGTCCCAGTTTTTTATTTTGAAAATCTGGTCACTCTAAGACTCATACTCCTGATAAAATTTGTTTCAGATTGGTATTTTTGACCAAGATCCTGGCTCAAGATCTGCAAAAGAGTTCCCTACAATCTCTTGTTATTCATAGACTGTAGTAGTAAAATGATACTAAAAACATACATATATCTAGTTGAAGTTGTTCTTATCATCTGTCTGTTGACGTCAAGTTGATTATGGGATTCTTTTTACTCCAAAATGCTTAAATCCCCACTGTCTCCAGCAGAGAGCACCAGACACCTTTACCCAAATGTTCAAATAGAAACTTTTACCAAGCATATACATTAGCTGAAGTTGTAAATGTGTCCGAAAGCCTTTTAAAACCACTCTCTATTTCTCGCTATGAGCGTATTATGAACGCAGAGTCATTTAGTTGCAGAACAGAGGAGGGAATATTCATGTTTACCAAGTAGTTTTTATTTATTTATTTTCTACTGTGCTGCCTTTGATGTCTCTTGTGAACAGCGGGAGGTAAGGACTGTGCTTTTGGAATCGGATGCACATAAGGAGAACCCGGCGGCCATGTTAGGAGAGTTACATTAACATTTGCACAGCCGCTTAGACTGGAACCAATGGGGGCAAAAATGAGATCTATTTTGGGATCATCATGCACCCGCACACACACAGAATTGGGAACTGGGGTAATATCTCCAAAACCTACATTTGGAAAAGAGAAATTATTTTGTGGGTACTTGTAATTTAAACAATAGCATAGTTAAAAGTGTAAATAGCATGTATTATTCTAATTTAGTTCAATACTTACAGAGCCCCTGAAGGTCACATAATAAAAAATATCTTATTCTTAGAAGATAGTATTTTATTTGGAAAATCACAATAAAAAAAGAAACAAAACAAAAAACGACTCAGTACTTTTCACTCATTGGCTAGTTTTCATCAGTATGTGTATGTGCTAGTATGTGTGTGTAACCCTAATTTTATCTTTTACAATAGTGTGTAATAGGCTCTAGTCACGCTTATGTCACAAACCAGGAAGATGTTTAGAAAGATGCGATTACTATTTCCCAGACCCAGTTTTCTTCATCTACATGTCACTGTAGTGTTCTGTTATGTTCAGCTAATCAACGATTCCAACCATACCTCAGTTTTCATCCTCCTCACTGACACATAACTCCGAGTGCACTGAGTACATGTGATTAGAAGAGATGAGGTGCCAAATTCAAGATGATTCCAAACAGCACATAGGTATACAGTCTTCATTTTACGTCTGATCACATTTACTTCAGTGGGTTTTATCACAATCGGTTTTAGTAGATCCATGTTAGGCGAGCCCAGAGTCAGTAACTACAACTGAAGCTGTAATCGCATCTTTCCAAACGTCTTCCTGGTTTGTGAGGTAAGCGTGAATAGAGCCCATTGACACTGTGTACAATAGCACATTGGTAGCTCATTGTTAGCGTCACTACTTCCTGGCCATTTGCATCTGTATATGTTTCTTTTTTGCAGTCACCCAAAAATAAGTAAGATAACGCAGTGGACAGTGTGCT